TTGAAAACTCTTGTTTTTGGTTCGTTTGGAGTTTCCATTTCAAGATTTGCAACCTTATGTATTGATTAAGACGGGTATTTTCGTTTTTTCCGCTTGTCTTAAATCGTTCTTTCGATTGTGGTGATGCCATTTGGTCTGGGTACTCCATTCATACCCGGATCGGTTGGTCGTGGTTTTTATCGTTCATGACTTATGTTCGAGATGCGATAGAGACGAATCAACCGAGGAGGCCTTGTGATGAGATCCGAAAATGTGAAAATCTTAGTAGCGTAGAATTTGAACTCGTATAATACTACCGGCACGATTAGCTACTGGTGAAAGAGCTGAAATGATGGCCGACACTGTTAGTCGAAAGAGTCATGCGAGATGATCATTTTCATTGTTCGGCAATGACCGCTGAGTTGGGATGATTCCTAGCTGAGGATGCCGATATTCGATTTCTTTATGAGATTCCTCCGTATCTCTTATATTTGATAACCGCTTGAAGTTGTATGGTTTGGGAAAGATGTGATGATTTGAAAGCCCTGAACCTTTCGAGTTTTTTAATACCTAAATGCTGGGGAAAAATATCTTTGTTGAACCCTAATGTTTGTCACTTTGAAGGTTTTGTGAAATCCTTTTCTTTCGGGTTACCTCAGATAGTGCGAACCTTGAATTAGAGAAATTCTTTTCTGTACCTCGAACTGAGTGCCGACACTGACTGGGTGTAGCCACGCGAAGTGGTGGTCGGGCACGCGAGCCTGTGCTGACAGACATGAGGCACTGCAGGGCCGATCGTTGACTCGCATGAGAGTTGCAGCCACCATCACCGAACGCAGAAACTCCCCAAGCTAGTGTGTGCAGCCGAACCTTGACCTTATAGCTAGTCTCTAAACGGATGTACGCACACGTCCCAGCGCCCCGCTTGTGCAGCGCCAGTGTGTGTGATATTTCTCGGGTGATAGTGCATTTAACCTCGGACTGGCTATCTCCTTTTAGATCGTTAGTATGGGATTATCGAGCATCTCTATGTGAAAGATCGCTTCTGCAATAGGAGATTGTTTCTGAATATCTAGTCGACACTTCCTAAGCCGCATACGAGTTGATACTCGTGTTGGCAAGGATGAGGCTTTGTCAATGGTATCAAACTGAATCGTGTGTTCTGAAGGTATCAGTGTTAAGAATATAGTGTTATTGATGATTGTTAGCCGTTCGTATGGGGTTCCATGGCAGCCCGTCTAATACGGACGCACGGATCGCATTGAGATCGTGGGCAAGTTGTCAGCGTGACCCAGGTACGAGACTGAACTTGGCACCGCGTAGCAAGTCCAGATAGTTGGGCGTTTGGGGCATACTGTCGAGACCCTGTGAGACTGGTTGGAGCCTGGTGTACTCGATAGGTATGTCGTGTGGAGTTTCTTTCCATGGGAAAGTACGCTTATTGATGGCTAATGAGCGACAATCTCGATGGTACCGTATGTGGTTCTGAGTACGGAAAGAGGTGTTGTACGCCTCAGATTCTGGGAAGAGAGGAAGTATCAGCCACACTTTGTCGGTCCTTTTAGGATTCTCGACCGAGTCGGCGACTTAGCCTGACGGTTGACCCCATCACTAGAGCTTGCGAGAGCGCACGACCTGTTCAGTGCCTCGTAGAGAGGGGACATGTGCGTGACGCTGGGCACGTGGCGAACTTTGACGAGCTGCATGTGGGCAGAACCTTACCTGTGTTGAGGTACCAGTGACCTACTGGATTGACGAATCCATCAGGGAGAGTCTGGGAGAGGTACTCGTCAAAGTCCGGAGGGGTAGCCGTGGCTTGTGCGATGTGACTTGGTAGAGTGGGGAGATTCGGACGGAGTATCCGAGTTTAATGGTTTGAGCTTCTCTCTTGTGTCAGTTGCCCTGTTCGGATGACTTTCTTTTATTTCCGGGGACGAAAATCGTTTGAGGGTAGACTGAAATGACCCATTTATTTGAGGTTTATTTGAGGATTATTACTATTGATGATTATTATTATTGTTATTATTATGAATATTATTGTTATTATTATTGAATGTCTAAATATTATTATTTGTCAAATTGTAATTATTGGTCTAAATGCATATTTTTATTATTAATATTATTATTTTAAAATAAGGCATGTATAAATAAATATTACCCGGTTTATTTTAATTTTCGCCACGTTGAACCGAGCCTTGAATAATTTTTGAGTCGAGTCCGAGAGAAATCAGTCGATTTTGAGTATTTTCCGTATCCATTTTGGGATCAATTTCTCTAGCCCAATATGATAAATATTTTGGCCCATTTGGAGTTTAAATAAATGGACCATGTCATTTTTTTTTTATCCTTCGCCGAGGCCCAAGGATTTTAAATAAACCGTTCCTTTCTTTTACCTTCACGATCGAGTCCAAATCTGGTCTGCTCGTTCAAAAACTTCAGAGCGAGTCTACAGGAGACCGTTTCTCCAACCAACCTGCACGTTCTCCTCTCTATCGGCTATATCATGCTCAGATGAGCTATCTCCATTTTCAAATCACACGCATCATCCCCTTGAAGTTCTACTTTCCCGTCGCTGCTCTCACAGACCATCATCTCCGGCCACCATCATCATCACACCGCTGTGAGCCTGCAAATTCCGGCGAGTTGTTGTCGGCGCCAAAAAGCCACGACCGCCCGCTGCCCCTCTCCCTTGCAATACCACTCTCGACGGGAACCAGCACTACCCCTGCACATCTCCTCCACGTCGCCATTTCTGGCGAGCTCCCGACGTGTGTGACCAAACTCGGCGTCTAACGACCACTGCTGCGCACCTCTCCCTCGACACCATCTCTGGTGAGACCTCCTCCGCGATCGCCGCCCTCCACGACGCCATTTCCGGTGTGAACCAGCGAGCTCGACCTCCCGCCGCGCATCTCCTCCTGTCACCGTTTTCCGACAAGTTGACCCGTTCGTCGGCGCTCCCTGTTTCGTACAGAACAGTCACCGGCATATGTCGAGGTCAGACCCGCTCTCCGGTATCGAGCAGCCCCTTGGTTCCTTTTTCGAGTTTCGTTCGCGAGCAGTCCCGAGCCTGTTCGCCAAAATCCGTTCCAGTCTTCCCGAGCTCCGTTCGTTCGACCCGTCACTCCGATTTCATGAACACGGGTAATCTTTTCGGGCCCTTTTTCATTAATTGTTGTTCGGATTTAATCATTTTTGGTATCTCGAGTGTCGTTATTTGACGCCGTTATATGTTCGGTTCATATTGTTCAAATTGTTGTGAATCGTGCATATTGGTAACTCTTGTTCGTTCATGTTAAACCCGGTTGTTGCTGTGATAAACCTCATTATGCTCGTTTGTTGCTGTTAAGAAGTCATATTAATCGTGGTCGAGCTTAGAATATTCGTTATATATGTTCATTGTTATTTCATGTGAAATCGTATGTTCGCTGTTTTCTGTTGTGCCTCAGTTTACTCCATCTGAGACCGATTATTTGAACATGCAATCTTCTTATGAAATGTAGTGTGTTCGGTTGTTTGTATCTGAGCTTTAGAATTTCGTGATTTTGATTTATATCGAGTAAGTTATGATTTTTGGGAATATTGCGCGTCCAGTTTTTCCTGTTACCCGGCAGCTTGTGTGTAATTAATGTATGACCTGTTTAGCATGTCTTAAGGTGCTCTTATGAATTAATGCTCTTCATGAAAGTTACAGTTCTGTTTCGTATCTTTCAAATGAGATAAATTTCATGTTGATATGTGCAACATCCCGCTACTTAGGGCCAATTTTTCCCAAATGTTTTTTTACTATCGAAAATGCTTATAAATTTTTCGAAACTGTTTGCAAACTAACTCGGGATGCTGCTATAAACTCATCTGCTTTAAAAATCCGTTTTCTTTAAACTGGGTCTAGTAAATGGATTAGACTTCAAGAAAATCAGACTAAATCTTTTGTCGAATCAAGCATGTAAACTAACCCCGTTCGTACTTGCAAACCGGGTAAAACTTTAAAATCTGAAGATACTGTCATGCAAGTTCAAAACTAAAATAAACATAGCGGAAGTCTGAAAATGCGTGGTCATAATAGTTATATAAACATAAGTAAACAAATGTCCCTGGAACAGCCAGCTGTGCCAAATCCACGACCACGACCACCACAACTGCCCTCACGCCTGCCCGCCGACCCTGTCATCTGAAAAACATAATGGGAGTGAGTACTGGTGTAATGCCCCGTTTAATTATTGAATATTTGAGAATTATTTATTATTATATTATTATTATTATTATTATTATTATTATTATTATTATTATTATTATTATTATTATTATTATTTAATTGTTGTTCTCATTAATTGTTTGAATGCTATAAAAATTATTAATTGTTGAATATGATTTATTTGTCAAATTTCTTAATTGTCCAAATATTAATTAGTTTCATATTTGTCTAAGTGTTATTAATTAATTAAAATGTGTAATTGTATTTTTACTAATATTATTATTATTATTTTAAAATTTAATTTGGGTGTATTATAAAAATATATTATATCCAGTTATATATTCATTGTGCCATTTAAATTTGCGAGCCGATCCGACTTAATCTATCGAGCCCAAGTAAAAACCGTATTATCGCTACGTAGTCGGGCCTGAGAGCCGAACCGTGTTATCAAATTTATATTCCAGCTCTTTTTGCTATGTGAATTAAATGGCCCAATTCCTTGCTATTAAATTCCTTGGTCCAATTTGAGTATTATCATTTTGGTCCAAATTGAACAAATATTTTTGGCCCATCTTGTGATTTAACCGATCAGAATTTTCCCCTCTTCCCTTCTTCTTCGCCTTGACCGAGTCCTCCCCTATCTGTGCCGTTTGAATTTCAGTTCCAATTTTGTCGTGAGATTTTCTCCACGTTCTTCCCTGGCTCTATTTATCTCGTAGAAACAATTCCCATCCTCTCGCCACCGCGGCAGCCCTCCTCTTCCGGCGAGCCCTGTTCGCGCAGTGACGAGCAACCTCCGACGCGAACTCTCCTCCGCGAGCCTTTCTCAGTCCGTGACCAGCAGCAACGCCGCGAGCCCGTCCCTCGCCGTGAACCAGTCCCGTCGCATAGCCACTCCTCCTCGCCGGGAGAAGCTCCTCAGCCGCGACGGGAGCGAATTTATGAGAATCTGACTTCAGGCGATTGAGGGTGAATGCACCCGACGACAGCTAATCTCGATAGGTCCGGTTGTGGGCAGGAGAACTACATCATCCCGCCCTTCATGGCGATTCGAGCATCCCGCGATTGAAACCACGCCGATGACGAGAATGCCGACGTCCACCAGATTTTCCAGCGACGGGACCAACGTCCGACGAGCCCATGCCTCCGGCAATTTCGGGCCTCGATTTTCGTCGGGCAGTGAATGCTCGCGAGCCCCGACCATTGTCCGACGATTTCGAGCCGCTGTCGACTGTCGAGCCGTCCGTCGAGGTGAGAATCCGCAGCAGCTCACTTTCGGTTTGTTTTTGAGCTACCCGTAAGTGCGAGGGGAGCCCGAAACAGCAATGGCAGCCTTACGGGCCCGTACGGGAAGAGCAACGGCACCCCGTTGGCCGTCCGTTTCTTAGCATCAAGTTGCAGCAGCTAAATCGAGCCTTTTCGAGAGGCGAGAGCCAGCCGAGCCTCCCTTTCGATTTTGTTTCTAGCCCCGAGAGAGGTAGATGGCTGAACTCAAGTTTATTTCTTTTTGGCCGAGAATATATGAGCATGCTATGTTTTCTTTTATTCATTTTAAAAACATGTTGCTTTGTAGTAGAGTCTGAGCAAAAGAGAAGCATGAATGTGTGCCTAATTGCCTAGTTTGAATTGAAAAAAGGGGCTGTTATCATGAGATAAAATATGCTGAGATTATGTGGTTATTTAGATGATTAGTTTTGATTTAAATGATATTTATAAAGCATGCTTAGAATTTGAGAGAAATTGAGTCATGAGAAAGCATTTTATACTTTGTCTTGGCCATGATTTTTATATATGTTGCTGGAACCCTTTTAAGAATTTTTGTGTCTAATATAAAGTGCTGTGTTATGCCTTGTATGGTTGGAAGGTTTGAGTTTAGTATGTTTACAATCTGTGGAAAAGAGAACATGTTAATTGTGTTTTGGCTTTGTTGTTACGGTTTGTGATGTGCCTTGGAATGTTTGTTCTTGTGCTGAGTTGAAATGTAATTGTGCTAAATTGTGGCTTGTAAATCTCAGTCATGAGCGACTTAGGCTGGCTAGAATTATTAAGTTTCATTTGTTATTTGAAATATAATTAGGTATCTTTTAGTTGCAGTTGTGCGGAGACATGTTATGCTGATACTATATGATGTAAGAAAAGATTAAGTTCTATGCCTAGGTGCTAAATAAGTATTAGAAAATTAGAAAGCGTAAATTATGTTTTTAAATTACCTTTGTTTGAAAAAAAAAAAAATAAAAGGAAAATTTGAGAAAGGCTAGTATATGTTTTAACCTTGTGTTATATTGAGCTTGTTATGCTTTTTCGTATGATTATTTGCTATTATCATGCTTAAAGTGATCATCTCCAAAGCTTAAGTCCAGTCATAAAACCTTTAAGCAGTTGTGTGAATTCTGAGATGGGATAAAATAAAAGGAACGTTTGAAACGCATGTAATTGTGTGGTTGATTTTGCGATGGGTGAGAATGTTTTAATTGCCGAGTCTATCATGTGCTTATGTGCTATTTATTATGTTTTTGGTGTCTTAATTCATAGTTAAAATTTTATACCCTTTTATTTGTTCTGGAAATTGAGAAGTAGAAAGGCGAGTAAGAATGCATATTCGTTTGATCTTTTGCTTTGGTGTATTTTTTTAAGTAGTAAGAATGAAGAGAAAAGAGTTAGAAATTCATGTGCTTTAATTGCTTTTAGTAGTCTTAGTTGTCCTTGCTTTACCTTACTTGTTCTTGCTTGCCAGTTGTCACCTTATTAATAAGATAAATATTATTAACTGTAGATTAACGAGGAGACGAGCCTTTTGCCTAGCTTCTGCTGATTATTGTGTAATTGACTACCTCGTCTATCAGGTGGGTTTAATGTAAAATTGTCTATGCTGTAAATGTTATTACTGTTTTAAAGTTTTGGTATGATCAAGTATGCATGTGGAACATGTAGCCTTCGATGTGAGCTGTATCGGCCGTCGAACGGTTATCTCCGTAGCTATAGAACGTACCCGTTGGGTAGTCTCCTTATTATTGTGAGCCGTAAGACCTGGGTTAAAGGTCCCTGTGCTGGACACATTTTGAGCCGTAAGACCTGGGTTAAAGGTCCCTGTGCTGGACGAACCCCGTTGGTAAGACCAAGGTGAGGCCTTGGCCGGCGGGTTACTCCTACTGGCTGGCACTCGATGTAGGACCCGAGGGCATTCGATATATAGTCAGCAGTAGTGGTTTACTCCTACTGGCTGGCACTCGATGTAGGACCGGAGGGCATTCGATATATAGTCAGCAGTAGTCTATGCGTAGGTGTGCACACTAGTCTTGATTTTATGACGATCTTATGACGATATTATGACGATCTTATGACGATATTATGACGATCTTATGACGATATTATGATGACAGGAGATTGGGATATTAAATTGATTCGTATACATGCTGAGACCATACCTTCTTGATTATTGATTATTGTTTCATTATTACGAATAATGTTTACTGCATAGTGGTGAGCACTACTTTTTCCAACTGTGCTCATCCCCACCTGAAATTCACATTTCAGGTTAAGGTACGACGGCGGAGTAGAGCGAGTGGTGGTCGGTCTATAAGACTGGCCTTATTATTTGTTATGCTTCCGCATTTATGAACTGGTTTTATGATTATGAACTTGGGGTATTATTGTTTTTATGAATTTCGGATTTTATGACTGAATAATGTTAAGGAGATGCTCCTTAGAATTTATGAATAGTGTTGGAACCCGGTTTGGGTGATGATTTATGAAATTCTGGAAAACCCATTTTTGGGAGTTAGTATTATTGATGATGATTGATGATTGAGTTTGATGAATGATCGAGTATTGAAAAATTGGTTAGAATTGAAGTTCGATTTAAAAAGGGGTAACGCCTCAGGTGCTTCGAAATAAATTTTAAAAAATTTATTCTGATTTTTTGTATCAGAGCCAGTCTGCGTTTCTGTAGACTGTATGTGTGAATTATGTGAATTATTTGCATAATATGTTTATGACCACTCGCTTCCGTCGTGCCGCGCCAACTCAGGTATGAATACTTGAGTGAATTTGGAATTGCTTATGTGCAATGTTATGATATTATGAGATGTAAACTGGGGCTTAGGGATTTATCCTCGTACTTTTAAACGTTCTGGAACTCTAGATGAGTGGCGAACCTTAGTTGCATGAACTTGAACTATAGCGATATAGAGTTAAGTTCTAACTTGACGTTTTGTTTGTTTAGAAATTTGATATGGTGTTATCGAGCTGAGTTCTGTATATAACAGTCCTCTCGATGTATTTTGGTGTCTTCTGGAGAGGACCATTCGTGAACCATCTCGAAAGGAGAAGGCTTGAACGAAGGGAGCAGACAACAGAAGTCCCAAAGTGTGGGATATTCGGAGGTCTGTAACCATCATATGTGTGTTTGACCCCCAGTCGAGTGCGAACTGGAGTAGAGTCTTGGTGCCTTGTGCATACTTAATATCCGACCCCGAGGAGTGTTGGGGAAACCCAATGCGAAACACTGTCGCGACTCTCGAGAGTGGCTAGGCCTCGAGAAAGACGATAGTAACCTATTCTTTTGTGGAATTCTCTTCGAAGGAATCCGACCTTGTTCTTAAGGCGGATAGATCGATCCGACACCACGTGTATAATTTTTTTTTTTCCGCAATTTTGAGTGACACTTCTATCTTGAAAGAGACATCAAAATTCCTTTCCGTATATTGAACCGCGAGCGATCTTCTAGTGACAACGGGACTTACCAGGGACAACTTGAACTGATAGTGGAGGCAGTGAGTCGTGGACTCGTGGAGGCGAAGCAGCATGTTTCATTCTTGAATTTCTGATTTCTTGTAGACTTTTGCAACCTTTGTTTATTCCCATTCGCATGGCAAACAATCTTGAATTGTGCTTGAGATTTCTTTTGTTATCCAATTTTCGTACTTTGGGAATTTCGCTTGATCTTTCCCTACTTTTCATTCGCTGTGTGAACTATTTTAAGCTTCCTAACTTAAAAAAAAAAAAAATTCGCTTCGCTTGAAGTTAGCTAATTTTGGTTTATCTTATGTTGGGAATTGACTTTGTTTTGAAAACCTGAATTCGAGTGAGATTAAGCATCTTTTTGTTTCTGCTTATCTTTATTCGCTTGCGAAGTATGTGAGTTCCGTTCGAATGACATTGCAAAAATATCACGAAGACTCGAGGGCAAAATTTTTCTATTGCCACTTTTGTGAATAACCTAACCTCGAGGCGACAATAATTGTTCACGCTCGACATCGAGATGAACGCACGGGAGCTGAAGCCAGCACGATTCAGTTCGATAAGAAGATGAAGTGTTTTCCAAACTGAACTGGGTCCCTTGCAAGAGGATGTACGCCTGAGCTCGGGCAGGACTGATCACCCTCCCGAGCAAGAAGGTAAACATATGAGCATAGGGCGAGTAGGATTGGGTCCTGTATGTGAGTGTATCCTTTTCGAGTATAGGGCGATAAGACTATTGGGAATGAAATCAAGTTTTGGAGGGTGATGCCTGGACCTCGTGATTGGAAAATTCCTGTTTGAGTCTGTCGTTTCCTTTTTTTGATGAGTGTTCTTCCGCATTTCCGAGGACGGAAATATTTTAAGGAGGATAAATTGTAATGCCCCGTTAAATTATTGAATATTTGAGAATTATTTATTATATATTATTATTATTATTATTATTATTTAATTGTTGTTCTCATTAATTGTTTGAATGCTATAAAAATTATTAATTGTTGAATATGATTTATTTGTCAAATTTCTTAATTGTCTAAATATTAATTAATCTCATATTTGTCTAAGTGTTATTAATTAATTAAAATGTGTAATTGTATTTTTACTAATATTATTATTATTATTTTAAAATTTAATTTGGGTGTATTATAAAAATATATTATATCCAGTTATATATTCATTGTCCATTTAAATTTGCGAGCCGATCCGATTTAATCTATGGAGCCCAAGTAAAAACCGTATTATCGCTACGTAGTCGGGCCTGAGAGCCGAACCGTGTTATTAAATTTATATTCCAGCCCTTTTTGCTATATGAATTAAATGGCCCAATTCCTTGCTATTAAATTCCTTGGTCCAATTTGAGTATTATCATTTTGGTCCAAATTGAACAAATATTTTTGGCCCATCTTGTGATTTAACCGATCAGATATTTTCCCCTCTTCCCTTCTTCTTCGCCGTGACCGAGTCCTCCCCTATCTGTGCCGTTTGAATTTCAGTTCCAATTTTGTCGTGAGATTTTCTCCACGTTCTTCCCTGGCTCTATTTTATCTCGTAGAAACAATTCCCATCCTCTCGCCACCGCGGCAGCCCTCCTCTTCCGGCGAGCCCTGTTCGCGCAGTGACGAGCAACCTCCGACGCGAACTCTCCTCCGTGAGCCTTTCTCAGTCCGTGACCAGCAGCAACGCCGCGAGCCCGTCCCTCGTTGTGAACCAGTCCCGTCGCACAGCCACTCCTTCTCGCCGGGAGAAGCTCCTCAGCCGCGACGGGAGCGAATTTATGAGAATCCGACTTCAGGCGATTGAGGGTGAATGCACCCGACGACAGCTAATCTCGATAGGTCCGGTTGTGGGCAGGAGAACTACATCATCCCGCCCTTCATGGCGATTCGAGCATCCCGCGATTGCAACCACGCCGATGACGAGAATGCCGACGTCCACCAGATTTTCCAGCGACGGGACCAACGTCCGACGAGCCCATGCCTCGGGCGATTTCGGGCCTCGATTTTCGTCGGGCAGTGAATGCTCGCGAGCCCCGACCATTGTCCGACGATTTCGAGCCGCCGTCGACTGTCGAGCCGTCCGTCGAGGTGAGAATCCACAGCAGCTCACTTTCGGTTTGTTTTTTAGCTACCCGTAAGTGCGAGGGGAGCCCGAAACAGCAACAGCAGCCTTACGGGCCCGTACGGGAAGAGCAACGGCACCCCGTTGGCCGTCCGTTTCTTAGCATCAAGTTGCAGTAGCTAAATCGAGCCTTTTCGAGAGGCGTGAGCCAGCCGAGCCTCCCTTTCGATTTTGTTTCTAGCCCCGAGAGAGGTAGATGGCTGAACTCAAGTTTATTTCTTTTTGGCCGAGAATATATGAGCATGCTATGTTTTCTTTTATTCATTTTAAAAACATGCTGCTTTGTAGTAGAGTGTAAGCAAAAAAAAAGCATGAATGTGTGCCTAATTGCCTAGTTTGAATTGAAAAAAGGGGCTGTTATCATGAGATAAAATATGCTGAGATTATGTGGTTATTTAGATGATTAGTTTTGATTTAAATGATATTTATAAAGCATGCTTAGAATTTGAGAGAAATTGAGTCATGAGAAAGCATTTTATACTTTGTCTTGGCCATGATTTTTATATATGTGGCTGGAACCCTTTAAGATTTTTTGTGTCTAAAATAAAGTGTTGTATTATGCCTTGTATGGTTGGAAGGTTTGAGTTTAGTATGTTTACAATCTGTGGAAAAGAGAACATGTTAATTGCGTTTTGGCTTTGTTGTTACGGTTTGTGATGAGCCTTGGAATGTTTGTTCTTGTGCTGAGTTGAAATGTAATTGTGCTAAATTGTGGCTTGTAAATCTCAGTCATGAGCGACTTAGGCTGGCTAGAATTATTAAGTTTCATTTGTTATTTGAAGTATAATTAGGTATCTTTTAGTTGCAGTTGTGCGGAGACATGTTATGCTGATACTATATGATGTAAGAAAAGATTAAGTTCTATGCCTAGGTGCTAAATAAGTATTAGAAAATTAGAAAGCGTAAATTACGTTTTTAAATTACCTTTGTTTGAAAAAAAAATAAAATAAAAGGAAAATTTGAGAAAGGCTAGTATATGTTTTAACCTTGTGTTATATTGAGCTTGTTATGCTTTTTTTTCGTATGATTATTTGCTATTATCATGCTTAAAGTGATCATCTCCAAAGCTTAAGTCCAGTCATAAAACCTTTAAGCAGTTGTGTGAATTCTGAGATGGGATAATATAAAAGGAACGTTTGAAACGCCTGTAATTGTGTGGTTGATTTTGCGATGGGTGAGAATGTTTTAATTGCCGAGTCTATCATGTGCTTATGTGCTATTTATTATGTTTTTGGTGTCTTAAATCATAGTCAAAATTTTATACCCTTTTATTTGTCCTGGAAATTGAGAAGTAGAAAGGGGAGTAAGAATGCATATTCGTTTGATCTTTTGCTTTGGTGTATTTTTTTAAGTAGTAAGAATGAAGAGAAAAGAGTTAGAAATTCATGTGCTTTAATTGCTTTTAGTAGTCTTAGTTGTCCTTGTTTTACCTTACTTGTTCTTGCTTGCCAGTTGTCACCTTATTAATAAGATAAATATTATTAACTGTAGATTAACGAGGAGACGAGCCTTTTGCCTACCTTCTGCTGATTATTGTGTAATTGACTACCTCGTCTATCAGGTGGGTTTAATGTAAAATTGTCTATGCTGTAAATGTTATTACTGTTTTAAATTTTTGGTATGATCAAGTATGCATGTGGAACATGTAGCCTTCGATGTGAGCTGTACCGGCCGTCGAACGGTTATCTCCGTAGCTATAGAACGTACCCGTTGGGTAGTCTCCTTATTATTGTGAGCCGTAAGACCTGGGTTAAAGGTCCCTGTGCTGGATGAACCCCGTTGGTAAGACCAAGGTGAGGCCTTGGCCGGCGGGTTACTCCTACTGGCTGGCACTCGATGTAGGACCCGAGGGCATTCGATATATAGTCAGCAGTAGTGGTTTACTCCTACTGGCTGGCACTTGATGTAGGACCGGAGGGCATTCGATATATAGTCAGCAGTAGTCTATGCGTAGGTGTGCACACGAGTCTTGATTTTATGACGATCTTATGACAATATTATGACGATCTTATGACGATATTATGAGGATCTTATGACGATATTATGATGACAGGAGATTGGGATATTAAATTGATTCGTATACATGCTGAGACCATACCTTCTTGATTATTGATTACTGTTTCATTATTACGAATAATGTTTACTGCATAGTGGTGAGCACTACTTTTTCCAACTGTGCTCATCCCCACCTAAAATTCACATTTCAGGTTAAGCGAGGCAGGTACGACGGCGGAGTAGAGCGAGTGGTGGTCGGTCTATAAGACTGGCCTTATTATTTGTTATGCTTCCGCATTTATGAACTGGTTTTATGATTATGAACTTGGGGTATTATTGTTTTTATGAATTTCGGATTTTATGACTGAATAATGTTAAGGAGATGCTCCTTAGAATTTATGAATAGTGTTGGAACCCGGTTTGGGTGATGATTTATGAAATTTTGAAAAACCCGTTTTTGGGAGTTAGTATTATTGATGATGATTGATGATTGAGTTTGATGAATGATCGAGTATTGAAAAATTGGTTAGAAGTTCGATTTAAAAAGGGGTAACGCCTCAGGGAAAGATGAAAGTTGCCTATTCTTTTGCGAAAATTTTCCAACAAGGGAATTCGACGTTGTCTTAAGAAGGATAGGCCGATCCGAAATCGCGTGAAAATTCTAATAAGTATAGGAATTGAACTTGTTTAGGACTGCAAGCATGATTAGCTACCTGAGTAAGAGCTTACATGACAGCCGACACTGTTAGCCGGAAGAGTCAAGCGAGCTAACCATTGCATTGTTCGGCAATGACTGCTGAGTTGGGGTTATTCCCGCTGAGGAGCCGATATTCATTCTCTTTGGGAACTTTTACCTTTCTCTATCGTTAGATATTCGCTTGAAATTCTATTGACTAGGAGAGTGGTGAACTTGGAACGCGGTTTTATGCCTTACGATGATTTGTAATCGTTGAAACATTCGTAAAGATTCAAACACACTGTTGAGGACGTTATTATTACTAAGAAACAAGTACAGAACCATCAGATGATGGTACAACAGACAAGTAGTAGTGAATCCTCAACCAACACACCATAATATTCCATAAAGGGAGGGTGCGTCTCAAGATTACAAGACTCTGTAACTCTGTCACCCAAGAATAGTTTTATGGGTTTATAAAGATAAATCCGTTGAATCAAAAGCTCTCTTGCGCTTAACCCCTTGAGTTTCCACAGAATCTTGAGAAGTGACGGTTTCTTGAAGTTTCTTGATAAGTCCAGCTGCAGTATCTGCACATTTACAGATCTCTCTAGTCGAATAAGATATATAGTTCTAATATAAACTTTCGTCAAGGAAACCAAGAAAGCCATTAAAGAAGTGATGGAAGTTTAATAGACCAATAGGCTTATTATGAAGTTTCATGTTTAACCAGGAAGCAAGAGTAAGCATGGTCATTAAAGTTCCATATTCACCAGGAAGTATGATGGAAGCATCACTATGGATCACCATAAACATCGTACCATCATAAAGAGAGTTAGATAGCATCATACTGGCAGAATCTTTGATAACTTTTGAAGGAGCTCTGTGAAAAGGTAGAACACTTTTCACTTCGATGTGAAAGCATTTTCCTGCCATGAGCAGATTATCAAAAAAGATGAGGCTAGTTCCTCCATATGGTAAATTGATCTTTTGTTTTCCCAGTTCCCTTACTAGTTGGGATACAATATAAATATTTTGAGAAGAAGCTACAAGTTTAGAACCACTACGAACACATATGGTTTTTATAGATGGAAGAACTTTAGTAACTTGAGAGATTCAGAAATCTCCATTTAGAGTAGAGAGATACTTGATCGTGAAAAAGGATGGGCCTATTTAAAGAGAGAGACTATGAAGAGATATGTATTATATTGTTGCACTCTGACAGAAGCAACAGACAAGTGATAAGTTACTCTTTAAATGATCGTTATCTATCAAAAAAGATAAGATATAAATTACCTTATATTAAATAGGGATATCAGAGACAGTTGTTGCAAACATGATCCTTAGCAACAATATTCTCGAAACTATAGCATTTCTCTTCATTTTTTAATTGAGTCCATAAAGATATAATCTCTCGATGCACATATCCACTGGGATGTGTCTCAAGAATGTTTTGGAGAGTTTTATCCATAGATTCCTTACTCAAGCCACCATTTATGAAAGTTATTTTATCTTCTCAATTATTAGACACAAAGCCTACCGATTTACATCGGGTGTCGCAATTACATCGAGCACATTTGAGGCATCCACCTAATCTTTTTGCTCTACGTTTCTTTGAAAGCGTACTTCTACCCGTACCTGATAGATATTTATAAGAATTTGGGAATTCCCCAGATAGTAGGACTTTTACTTCAATCAACCATCGAAGATCATTTGGAATATTATAGTGATTTAGCGCTCTCAATCTTTCAACTCGAGATCGATTAATTTTTTTATGATATTAAGTGGAAGAAAGGAATAAAATTTGCGGATTTTTATCAATGCTAAATCCATTTGTAATTTTGGACCATTGCTGAGGAAGATCGTTGATTTTGCAGTCAGTTTATAGACAAATGATGCGTATGAAATACGCCTAAAATCGGTGTGACCGACACGCCTGAGATATGATCGTGCATTAAAATATACCGAGTGTCATAATCTGCAATCAGAGTGCATTTAGTGCAGCCGAAAGCAGATGTGAGATGTCGACAATAATGACAGCACATGAATTATTATGATGGCTACTGATATTATTAATAACAGATGCCACTTGGGAGCGAGAAGCTGACATTAGAGCTTATTGTCCAGATTTTGTGTTCTAATATGTACATAGTTTGTATGTATTTTCATTTTCAGTATTTTCGAGGACGGAAATAATTTTAAGGGGGATAGATTGTAATATCCCATTCGGTTATTTTTAAAAGTAATTATTTTAGTTCTAAGTTTGAACTATTTTACTTTTATTAATAATGCTTGTTACTAAATAAAATTGGTTAAAATTGAAGTTCGACTTTAAGTCGAAAGTATTCTCGGTTAAATTTTATTTAGTAATTGAGCCAGTTCAGAAATTAATTAGTTCCGATCTATTTATTTTTATAAATGGATTTTATAAAACGGGATTAATTATTTCCTCAGTTGACGAATAATTGAAATCGAGTATATTTTGATAAATTGTTTAAGTTAAGTAGAGAACCGAACCAAGTATGTTCGATCGCTAGAAACGCAAAATCGAAGTGTCACTCTTCGATTATATCAACAAATGAACCTAAGTGCCACTCTTAGGTTATATCAAATCATCAAGCAAGAATTCATCAATTCTAAATTAAATCAACTCACATACGCATGAACAATCTTGAGCCCGACAAATACACGTTAAACAAGAACAATCATCCCCTATCCCTAGCAATAAGAATTAGCTACGTAAAATAAATTCAACACCAATAATCATCTCTCCCAAATCAATCATTATTCATGAATTAATTCAAAGAGAAAAGAAACTTACAATTTATTTTAGTCCAAGTGTTGAATCCCAAAGTACAAAGCTTAATCCTTGATAACTAAGAAGAAGAAGAAGAAAAATGGAAAACAAAAGTGAAAAGAACGAAGAAAATGAGGAAGGAAAGGAGAAGAAATGAGTTTTGTGGTGTTTTTACGGGCCTAAGGTTCGTCTCCCAGAAGGGGAGAGAATTCATAAAACGAGTTCCCGTACACATATTTATAAGAAAAGTCGGCCATGGCGTGAGGAAGGCGCGACACGGTGCGGCAGGGCACTTGGCCACGGCGCGGGAGTGCTTCGCGGCGCGACGACTGGGTGTGGCGCGGCTCGGCAAGT